TCAAGGCCCTAGCAAGTGAGAGGCTACAGGAACGAGACCTAGCTGTACACAGTGCCGCTGATGATCTTTAGGCGCAAGCGCCTTAGTAAAGATATCAGCTGTGTTGGCACTGGAGGCCAAGTGTACTACGCACGCCTGGCGTCGCTGCTGGAGCTCACGCAGGAGGAAGTACCCTGAGGGTCTCGGCGTCGTCTGCCCAAGAAGGGTCTGTGTGTCCAGTAAGGACCACTGGCCTGCGTCCTCTTAGCGGCAGACCAGTGCTGTGGTCGGTGTCTGCCTGTAGCCACAAAGCGAGCCAGGATGCTGAGAGGGTATGCGAGATCTGGACGAGTGCAAGTCATCAGGTACATGAGGCAACCCACCAGCTCTGCGTAAGGACCACTGGGCTCTGCTGACTCCTCAGGAACTGGAGCGGAGAGCTTGTGGTCTAGAGCCAGAGGAGTAGGCTGTGCGGAGGAGACCTGAAGGCCGAACCTCTGAAGGACCTGGCACACCAAGTGTGACTGAGTCAAAGTGATGGTGCGCGCTGCTCTGTCCCTGGAGATCTGCAAGCCAAGGTAGTGGCGCAGGTCTCCAAGGTCAGTGCAAGTGTGCCTCTTCAGCAGCTCTGCCTTCACGGAGGCCAGGGCGTCCCTGTCTGCTGTGGCGAAGGCCAGGTCGTCTACGTAAACAAGGATGTAGAACGGGGTCTGGCCAGCACGAACAAAGAGCGAGGGGTCTGCAGAGGACGGAAACAACTGCAGGTCAGCAAGCGTAGCACGCAACGTGACGTGCCACTCACGGGGAGCCTGCCACAGGCCGTAGACGGGGCGCTGCAGGAGCCACTGGGTCCGAGGAGGGAAGGTACCAGTGAAGCTCTGAGGGCGGCGCAGGTAGACCTGCTCGTGTAGACTGCCATGAAGAAACGCAGTGGAGAAGTCAAGGGAGTGAAGCTCGTAGTCACGCTGAGCTGCTACGTGTAGCAGCACCCGAAGAGTAGTCATCTTCGGGGTTGGAGCGAAGGTCTGGAAGAAGTCCACCCCCTCACGCTCACTGAAACCTCTAGCCACGTAGCGCGCCTTGAGCACAGGCGGCTCTCCAGGAGGGCACTTCACCTTGAAGAGCCAGCGGCCATCGACTACGTTCACCCCAGGTGGGGGGACTGCGTCGACGTAGGTGCCGGTGGATCTCCAAGATGCCATCTCATGCTCCATGGCAGCTATCCACTAAGAGGCCCAGGGTCCCAAGACCGCCTCAGCGTAAGTGCAAGGGGTCGGGATGTCGAAAGCGTCTGGGTCACCCTCAGGGACTAGAAGCATAGAGCAGAGATGGGGAGCAGCCTCGGACAAGAAAGCAAGCTCGTACTGGCGGTCCTCCAGGACATCACTGCCGAGGGCAGGAGCACCCCCAACAGACGGAGGACAAGCAGGGTCAGAGACCAGAGCGGTGGCGTAGTCAAGGTGGCGGGTAGAGGCGATGTCAGCGACCGCAGCGACAAGGGCGCCAAGGCTCGAAACCGGAACAGACGGGTCAGTAACGAGAGAGGCAAGGACCCGAGGAACAAGAGGACGAGCGGCACGCGTAGTCAGATAGAGGGGGGGGAGCAACGACAAGGGAGGACAGAGGGGGCGACGAGAGAAGGGGAGGATGAGACGCGTGGGAACAAAACAATATGGGGTGAGAGCACGAGACAGGGGAGACAGGTCGAGCACGGGAGGGACGGCGAGACCAGACGTGAGACGGAGGAGTCGTGTCAGTGGACAAAGGAGGGGACACAAGAGGGGAACGAGGGGGGAAACGGGCCGGAGACGAGTCCGGAGGAGGGAACACAGGGCTGTAGATAGGAGGAGGAGGAGGAGGCACAGGCACGGGGTCAGGGGACGGAAGGCCGAGCAGGTGAAGAGCGTACACCGGCGGGGACTGCTGCGGCGGCGGTGTGACACTGACTCCGGAACCGCAAGCTGCCTGGCGGCTACCTCCAGAATACTCCACGCCAGCACCCCCAGAAGGAACACCCGCAGAGCTCAGAACCCCTCGAGCACTGGTACCACCCCCAAGCCTGCCGGGACAAGCCACGACAGGAGTCCCAAGACGAGTACCCACCCCAACTCCAGCACCTCCAGAGGCAACGAACTGCTGCGGCGACGGCTGCGGCGGCGGCGGCGGCGGCGGCTGCAATGACGGTTGCGGCGGCGGCGATGACGACGGCTGTGACAGCGGTGGCGACTGCGGCTGTGGAGGCGGCGGAGGAGGAGACACCTGAGAAGGGGCAGGCGGCAAGGACTGCGCCGCAGGACCACAAGAGTCAGCAGACTCCTCAACCGGGACAACCGACGTAAGTGGGGTGACGTGGGATACACCAGAGGGGGCAGGATGGGGAGGGGGAGGAGGAGGGGCGGCGACGACCGGGGAAGAGGTGACCAGGTACGGGGGGGGGGTAACTGAGGGACCTCGGTGGGGGAAGCGGCGGAAGAAGGAGACGGACTCGTCAAAGGTGACGTCACGGGAGTGAAAGAACCGGTGAGTCGGCGGGTGGTAGAAGTGCCAGTCAGACGCGTCAAGGGGGAAGCCGAGGAAGACACAGGGAAGGGTGCGGGCAGTGAGCTTGTCCGTGCCAGAGGCACGAACGTGAGCAAGGCAGCCCCAGACGTGGAACGCAGACACGTCACCAGGTGACCCAGACCAGAGGAGGGTCGGCGAAACCTGAGGCTGCTGGGGGTGCAGCCACAGGTTGAGCTAGTGAGCGGCGTAGCGAACGGCGAACGGCCACAGAAAATGGGGTGCACCGGCATGGATCATGGAGGTGCGAGCCACCTCCATGACCAAAGCGATGCGTGGCTCAGCGACCCCATTCTGCTGCGGGGAGTCCGGCAAGGTGAACGTTTAGGTGATACCCTCCGCACGACAGAAATGGCCAAGGATACCAGAGGCAAACTCGCCACCACGGTCGGAGTGGAGACGCAAGACAGGGAGACCGCGGTGGACACGCGCAGAGACAAGCCACGGGATAATAACGGTAGGCACGTCGGCCTTCTGCTCCAGGGGGAACACAGTGGTGTAGCGCGTGTAGTCGTCGACAAGCACTAGGAAGAAGCGCTCTCGACACGGCCCATGGACGGGGGCGGGGCCCCAGACGTCCATGTGCAGAGTCTATAGCGGTGCTGCAGTAGGGGGAAACGAGGAGGAGTGAGGGGCACGGTGGAGCCGGCCCTCGACACAGGGCGTGCAAGGTGGGACTGGGGAGGAGGGAAACTCGGGGAACGACCCGGGGAGGCCTAGGACGAGACCGTGCTGTGACATGTGACGCAGACGCGGGAGCACAGGGTGACCTAGGCGGTGGTGCCAGAGAAGAATCGGGTGAGTGAGAGACCGACAGGAGCAGGCAGCAGCAACCGGGGGAGACGCAGTCACCTGAGGGGGGGTCCCAGCCGGGGGGGTCATCGTGTCCAGTGTGAAAAGATCGGACACCGGGTCCCGTGAGAACATGGACAGGGGGGCACCAGTGGCGGCCTCGGTACAGACAGCGTATCGCTCGTGTCCAGGGAAGATAGTGGTGACGCCAAGGTCCTGAAGGCAGCCGACACCAACTAGGTTCCTGGAGAACGAGGGGATGTGCAGTCCTGTGAGCGAGCCCGAAGAAACCGCCGGGCAGGGGAGGGTGGTGGAACTGCGGGCGACTACAGGGCCAGAGGAGGGGTCAGCAAGAGAGACTGCGGCAGGGACAAGAAGCGGTGTCAACGTGGTGGAGTCACGGAAGAAGCACCGAGGGTGAAGGAGAGCGCGGCAGTGGCGGCCGGAGGCGAAGCAGCGACGGAAGCACCAAGGCTAAACAAAGCAGGGGATCCTACACCTGACGCAGTAGGGGAGTCTAAGGAAGGCACACCTACACTAGGCAACAAGGGGTAATAAGACGGAAGCACACTAGAGTCATCAGCATACATCGCATGCAGAGCAGGAACAATCTCATCCATATCCAGATAAAAAATCTGAACACTACGACGAAGCAAACTGTGCCAGTCTGGGAGCTCGGGTGACGGGCCGAAACACTGACGAAATAGGTCGTCCAGGCGACGGAAACAGCGGACGGGGGTGTGACCGATCTTACCGCAAACGAAGCCACGGTGAGAACCGGTCTGGAGCAGGCACTGACAGCGCGCGTCACCCGAACCACAACCCGGCAGCCCACCACGCGCACCACCACCACGTCCAGCGCTACCACCAGCGCCAGGCCACCCGGGCGGGAGACCACTCGCCCGTCTCTGCTGCGCCTGCGACTGCTGCGGCTGCTGCGTTTGTTGCGGCTGACGCGAGTCCGCCTGCAACGCCGGCGGCTGCTGAGACGGCTGCTCGGCTGCACCTGGCAGGGTCCCCTCGTCCGCACCACCACCAGGAGACCCAGCTCCAGTACCACCTACACCTGCACCCCCACCCCCGCCGCCACGCCCAGCCTTGGGGCGGTGACCCTTCCCCGGACGGACCTGTGCTGCAGCGGCAGTCTCAGCCACAGCAACAGAACCGTCAGAGAAGGTGCACTGAGCGGGGGCACAACCCTGAAAGATAGGGACCGGCACAGTACCGCTGGTCTGAGCGATAGAGCGGTGGCGGGCCTCTATAGCGGACAGGGTGTCAACAAAGTCAGTGAGGGTGAGGTCTGCCGGGTGGACGCTAAGGAAGTGGTTACGGACAGTGGCAAGACGGTCAGGGAGGCGGGTGGCTAGCAAGTAGAGAGTAACCTAACCTACTATGATACCATATCAGAAAGAATAAATTGAACTAGAATGTGAGTACAAGAGTATATAGACTAGGGTGTTGTATCCTCTAAGGCACAATCCAGTATAGTCTACAGTAATGACCTAAGTTACATTTGACACTGTTCTGACAAAAATCAACAATAAACATCTTTTACCGAGAAGAGCACTATGCTCTGTTGGTGAGGCTCATGTATTCAACGAAACAAAAACAAAAAACTAAGAAATTAGCACAACGCATCTACTTTTACACAGGTTAGAGACGATAATTACACAATGAAGCACACAACTTAAAAATAGCAAGGATCCAGTTCCCACTGAGTGCAAAGTTTGGTTTTGAAACATAAGCAAGCAAGCGGTCGTGAGCGCCATTTTTTCTAAGGCAAGAACAAGACACACAATGCAGCACAACCTAGGAAACCCCTAACAGTCTAGCTAGGATCAGCCAGGGGCCTCTAGCCTAGGCGTTATTCACCTCCTTTTCTACGCACCTTGCAACCTACAGGATGGAAGTAGGAGGTGAGAATGGGAGCAGGCTGTAGGAGAGAGGGGGGGGGGGGTTTGAATGTCCAAGGCAATAAACGATCCAGAATGAAAGGGGCAGGCGGTGGATGGAGAGTGAGGGGGGAAGGGAGAACAAGAGAGAAAGAGAGAGAGAATGAGAGAGTGGAGTGGGAGAAATGGAGGAAGAGAGAGAGGGGGCGAGCGAGAGAGCGCTCGAGAGAGGGAGGGACAGAGCGGGAGGGACGGTGAGGGAGCGCGGGGAGGAGGGGAGAACGGGTGCGAGGTGCGAAAGAGAGTGAGAGAGAACGGGTGTGGGGGGGGAAGAGGGGAGAAGAGTGAGCCCCAATGCCTCCCATCTATACCTCCCGTTCCCCCCCTCCCATAGCCCTACTTCCCCCTCTCCCATAGCCTTGCTTTCCCCCCTCCCATAGCCCTGCTTCTCCACCTCCCATAGCCCTGCTTACCCCCCTCCCATAGCCCTGCTTCCCCCCCTCCCATAGCCCTGCTTCCCCCCCTCCCATAGCCCTGCTTCCCCCTCTCCAAAAGCCCTGCTTCCCCACCTCCCATAGCCCTGCTTCCCCCCCTCCCATAGCCCTGCTTCCCCCCCTCCCATAGCCCTCCTCCTGCCCCCAAAGAGAGCCCGGATCCCCCCTACCCAGGGAGAGGGCAAGGGAGACGGGAGTACGGGAGAGGGGAGCATGGGAGAGGGAAGAACGGGAGAGGGGAGCATGGGAGAGGGGAGAACGGGAGAGGGGAGCAAGGGAGACGGGTGAATGGGAGAGGAGTGCCTAGACCCTGCTTCGTAGTCCTGGAAGCGGGAGTGGACGTACCTTAGGCTAGCGGGGCAGAGGAGGGTTAGGATGCATGGTTTGTCAAACCCCTGAAGAGCCGAGCCCTGTACTCAGGTTTGGGCATGAATACAAGGACCGCTTCAGAGAGAGGCTGGGGGGGGGGCAGAAATAGGTAGTGAGATGAATGAGGGAATACGGGGAGTGTGAGATGGGCAGATGAGAGTGTGAGAAAGGAGGGATGGGAAGGGAAGGGAGGGAGTTCCTAGATAGCGACCAGGGCTGAAAGAAAGGGAGATGGGAGGGAGAGAGGGAGAAAGCGGGCGGCGAGCCCCCTCCCCAGCTTCGAAATGCCCCCCCCCCCCCTCCCCCCCCCCCAACCAGAGCCCACCTCCCCCCCCACCAGAGCCCACCTCTCCCCCACCAGAACCCACCTCACCCCCAACCAGAACCCACCTCCCCGCCCACCAGAGCCCACCTTTCCCCCCCGCCAGAGCCCACCTTCGGAAGAGCTGGGGGGATAGAGGTGGGCAGAGCAAGGGTAACGAGGGAAGGGAGTTGGAGGAATTATGACGTGGAGTAGGCGTGAGAGAGGTAGCCAGTGGGAGGGGAAGAGAGGTGGGCAGAGCGGGGGAGAGTGAGGTGGGCTGCGGCGGAGAGAGAGATGGGCGGAACGCGGGAGAGAGAGAAGGGCAGTGTGAGGAAAACAGGGGATATAGGGATATGGTGGGAATATTGGGAGGGATAACAGGGGGAGGAGCGGGAGGACAAGGTAAGAGCTTGAGTGAGGGAATGGACCAATGAGCTACGCAAAGAGAAGGGCGTGGGGATAGGAAGGGAGGGATTGGCGACGGGAAGACATGGGATGGCCGACGAGGATGGGAAAGGGAGGGGAAAATGGGTGCTGGGGGGAAGTGGGGACGCGGGAAAGCGGAAAGCGGGACCGCGGGAACGCGGGCTAGCGGATTGGGCGGAAAGCGGAAAAGCAGTGGCAGCTTGAGTGGGGGAAATCGGGGAGGCGGATGCAGGCAGATGCAGTGGGCAGGGCGGAAAACAGGGAATGCGGAAGAGTGGGAAAGCGGGGCAGCGCTCTCGCAGCTGCTGCGAGGAGCGGGGAGTGGGAAGCGAGGCAACGGGCGAGGTACTTGGGCGCACCGGCGAGGAAATGCCTTAGAGCTTGCTAATAAGGTCTTCGCGTGGCGCGCCCTAAAATGATAGTGTGGCATGCAGTGAAGTGGGCGATTAGGTACGAAATCAATGGTCGCATAAAGTAACGGAGATGCGGCAGGTAGCTGTCGCCCACAGGGTTACGGGGACATGTAAACGTTACTAGTAAGCCGCACCTTTCACGTGAATAACTAAAATAGGAGGTAAACGCTGTGTTAGGGAGCGAGAATGGCGGGGAAGGAGCCATGGCTACTGAGTAGAGTAAAAAGCAAAAGCTTTGGGCCTTGGTGTGGCGGGGGGAGAGGCTTTCCTTGTTCTGTCGCTGGGTTGGTGGTGAGTCGCATAGCCAATCAGAATCATCCCAAATCAAAATCGCACCCCTCCTGCTGGTATTTGGTTACCGTGTTTGTTTCGCGTTAGTTTTCGTGCGTCGGGGGACTCAAAACCTTTGACTCTTGAGTTTGGTCTGGACGCTCGCTTAAAAGCGAGCGGACAGACCAAACTCAAGACTCAAAGGTTTTGAGTTGTACTACACACGAAAACTGTAAGGAATTCCAATTCCTTACTGGGACTCGCCACAGCGAGGGTCGTCAGCGCGGGTCCGCAGGCTCGGCCCTGGTTTATCGCGCCAAACCAGCCCTTGACGACCATCTCGGGCCCAAACTGACCCCGAGTCGCCCCGAACCCGTTTTGACCCCGTCACCCTCGGACTGTCGAGCCCTCGACTGGTCCAACCCTCGACATTTCGACCTGGTCAACTCGCACTATATAAGCCCTAGGTCTGATTATTCAGGAGGATTCCGTAATCACGTTCCCTTATAGTATTCTGCGCTATACTCTGAGTTATAATTCATAACAGATGGTATCAGAGCCCCGATTCTGCCCAACTAGTTTCCGATAGGGGAGCAGACCCTATCGGGGAAGGGGGCGGAAGGATGCTGATGGCGAGCGCACGTCGAGGAAATTAATTGCGCGGGCGTTGCCGATGCCGTCAGATCTTCTCCGATGGACGGCTGGGATTGGCCGGTCCTCCCTTTCCCAGGGCGTAGACAGGATTATTTCCTGTCGAATAGGTGGCGACGTTTTCGCCGTGTTTTTCGGGTATGTTCGTTAGTGCTTCGGAATTTTCGAGAGTTTCTTGCGAAGTGTTCGGATTGGCTTCCGAAAATAACGAGGAGTCGTTGGGAGGAGTCGTTGGGCGGCCAGGAGTTGGTCGTCGCGAGGAGACAAGTGCACGGGAGTCCTCAGGCGGCCGGGAGATGGTCGTCAGGAACGCGCGGGGTGGCGAAAATGACGGGACGCACCGCGATGGGCGTTTGTCGTGCCATGTAGCTGCATGGTGAAATGCAGTTGCGTCGCTGGCGTCGACGTTTCCGGCAGGCTACTTGCGGGCGATGGACGGGACTTCGACACTATTTCGGCAATTGGCAGATCCGACAAATTCGGAACGACACGATCGCATGAAGTTGTGTGGGTGTGCAGTTGTGTGGGAGTAGCTGAGATTAACGACCTCGGCGCTATACACTACGACGGCCATCTGGAGGTGATGACGCTGTGCTGGAGTGAGTGTACTCAGCGAGGGCGACTTCCCTCGTGGGGAGGCGTTTTTCGTGGACCAGCGATTCATACCCCCACGATCAACGGAAACGGAGGCCACCACCCCTGGGTGTATATTAAGTGTTTTCCACCGGTCGCCGAATGCGTTACCTGTCAGGAGCTAAGCAGTGGGAGAAGAACGACGGGAGTACTGGAGCAGATGGGTTAGCGGCGTTCGGGCTGCTACTCGCTCAGCTACGTCGCCCGGAAATCACCATTCCCACCAGATAGCAGTGTCGACTTGTTCATCGACGGCACTTGGATGAATAAGGGGGGTGAACCTGCAAACTACACTGTGCTGATGGAGTGTCCCTGAAGAAGAAGAAAAAAAAAACAAAAAAAAGGGGAGTTACTGTTGTAGTGGAGCTGAGGGAGTTTACCTGGTGCGGCAGGAGGAGGTTCCGCCTTTTGCGGATGTAGTTTGACGAGTTTCCGACGGAGGCGGGAGCGGTCCAGCGGTTAGTAGGCGAGCTCGTTAAAGCTCCTCTTACTAGAAGCGTGCGCACTCCTATCTCTGCGGATTCTCCTAGTTAGTTAAGCAGCAGCGAAGCGGTTTTGGGTAACCTGCAGAAGCCGCGAGATGGGTGAACGTCTGCACGGCCAGCTGGACAGGGGTACCGGAGTATTTTAGTGTTGGGTAACAGCTGGGCGCAGATCGACGGCGTATGATACGCATTGACCCTGATTGACGGCCAAAACATCATGCCGAGGCGGTGGACTCTGGTAAACCCTAAGATAAAGGGTTTAGTTCATGCGTACAGCTGGTGGAGAAACCGTTGGGGCGCTGCTAAAGGACGCCGTGTCGCCTGGGCATTTCTACAGATAGTTGTGAAGCGGAGTTACGGTATCTACTAAGTACTGCTTGGTTCCGACATTTTCAGAGAGTTTGTGAAGCGGTTCGAGCGTTTACAGCTGGAGTTGTGCCCGCTATCTTCAGGGGTACGAGCGACACCGACCGACATTTGCGCAGTATTTTGTTATATGGAGCAATAGCAGTTTCGGCTCTTCCCGAAAATTTCGGCGTGTACGGACAAAAAGTCGGATGCAGCTGGTTTCATCTGAAATCGGGTTCTGTTCGAGGATATTCACGGGAGTGGTTTCGGTACAAGTTACAAGTCCTCGCCAACGTAGTCTTCCTCTCGCCACCACCCGCTACCACCCCCATTCTCAACTCGTCCGACACCGTGAACACGACCCCACCGCATCCTCGCCACCCATCAGGAGCAGTATCGGATTTAACATGACATTTTGCAGCAGTACTGTGGAGCTGTGTTGGGACCAGGGCTAAATTTTCATTTTTCAAGACCCAGCGGTCTCAGGATTCGCGTCACGAAAGACCCTGAAAATTCAGCGTCTCCTGGAAAATATCTCTTAATTTCAGGATTACTTCGACCTTTCAATCTGAAATTCAGAGTGTTTTTTGGGACTCCCTACATAACAGCGGAACGTGTCGGCACTTTGAGTACAAGCAGGAAGGACATCGATGGAAGAAACGGAGAAGTATACAGAACACTCACTTGCTGCTGCTGTTGTTCCTCACCACCACACCAAGTTTGACACTTTCCTTAATCGCGACAGAAATGCGTATAGCTTAGAGGAACGGTGTGCAACATGGCTAAGGTGATATTAAGGGGTTGTGATAAGTCTGACAGCCCTGCACTTCTGTAGTTATGAAAGTTCTACGGTTCTGTAGTTGCGTGGAAAATTAGTCAGGGTTGCGAAGGAGTTGGGGGTTGGGGGGGGGGTGGAGGGTAGGGCTGCAATTCCAGCACGGGTGAGTTTCCATGCCAGTCGGATAGTCAGGATAATTTTTCGCACAATCCGGATTGCTCATAGAGTTACCCGGAATCTGTCAGGAGGTTTGTGAATCTGAAATCCTTAAAATCAGGATTTCAGAGGGAAAGACCCGGAATGTACCTGACATTCCGGATGTTTACCCTTGAACCGAGAGCCCCGGTTGGGACCAGCTCGCAAGCTGTGTTAAAACAAATAGTGCGGGAGTCTTCTGATGCAGTTGTTGTGGGATTTCAAGACTACTGGAATGGTTCTACCCTGCGGAGACATTTCAAATTTGGAGCATCCTTTGGTACTTCGATCGATTGGAGTCTTGCAGCGGCATCATGGTAGCTGCGTTCTGGGGTTTTCAGCAGCAGTTCGGGCTTCTTTCAACGCCCCCAGAGCATTGGGTTTTCTTCGGTTTTACCTGGGAATTGGGAGCTGTTTTCTTTTGAAGAGGGGAGAAGGGCAGCTGTGCTACAATTTACCGATGACTTTCCGGCGTGTTTCGTTAACCATTTGCGACCGCCATTCGTTATCGTTACGCTTCTGCGCCTGATTTCGTCACTTCGTTGATGGAGTTCGCTGACTTTCGTGGGACACGGACGCGTGCTCTCGCATGTGACTCGAACGACCTCGCATTTGATGAATGGGTTCTTCATTTCATTGACCACCACGTTATTCGCCCGTCATCATTTCACGAAATTCGACGGACATGCGCCATCATCAATTGGTTTCACTGTTCATTGTCTTCCGCTGGAGTATTTACCCTTGCCTGTTTGGTTATCAGAAGAATTCGACCATCTTCGACGGCGGCGATTAAAAGCGATCGTTTCGACGCTTTCTGACCATCGATTTCAGTTCGACCTCAAGACCTCGTCAGGCCGGCGTAATCATTACGCTCGTCACAGGGTTGAAGACTTACAGTCACTTCGGGGATTAAATTAGAGAAAATGTTCGACCTCGATAAAGGGAGGGCTTTCCTTTTGAAGGTGGGAGAGTGTAAGGAATTCCGATTCCTTACTGGGACTCGCCACAGCGAGTACTGCGAACAGTGCGGGTCCGCAGGCTCGGCCCTGGTTTATCGCGCCAAACCAGCCCTTGACGACCTTTTCGGCCCCAACCTGACCCCGAGTCGCCTCGAACCCGTTTTGACCCCGTCACCCTCGGACTGTCGAGCCCTCGACTGGTCCAAACCTCGACATTTCGACCTGGTCAACTCGCACTATATAAGCCCTAGGTCTCATTATTCAGGAGGATTCGGTAATCACGCTCCCTTATAGTATTCTGCGCTATACTCTGAGTTATAATTCATAACAAAAACGGGCGCGACAGAAACACGGTAACCAAATACACACCCGAGGGGTGCGATTTTGAGATTTGGGGGAGGTGACCTGCTATGCGACGCCCGCCCCAACCCAGCGACGGAACAAGCAAAGCCTTTCCACCTGCCACCCCAAGATCCAAAGCTTTTGCTTTTTACTCTGTACTCAATGGCAATGGCTCCTTCCCCGCCATACTCGCTCGCGAACACAGTGCTTACCTCCCATCTCAGTGGGAAAATGTGCGTTACTGGTAGCGAAACCGAGTTCCCATAACACTGACAACTATTTCGTACCAAATCGCGCCCCCGCGCAGCAAGCTTTTGCTTTTTACTCTGTACTCAATGGCAATGGTGAATACGTGAGAGGATGGTATGTGTTCCAATGCGAGGAGCATGGGGGAAAGACATCAAGGGGGAGCAGAGGAAAGGTGAGGGAAAGGGGAGAAGACAGCAAGAGGGAGCAGAGGCGAGGTGAGGGACCAGGGGGAGGACAGGACAGGGGATGTGAGGGGGAAGTAGAGGGGATGTAGGGGACGCAAGAGAGAGGATGGCGGAGG